GGGGGGGGGGGGAGGGGGTGAAACATTGTCCTCCCATCTCCGCCCCCTGAATTGACTGGAAGAAAATAACATCTAAGACCGCTGCTAATTCATAGTAGATTTTTCCGTTAAGGCTGATACAATTTTGTTTAACCTTCGCGATGTGATGGTGTTCACACTCACTAGAAGTACCTTGAAAATGTTGGATTCTTGCCAAATGCTTCTTTCGGAAGAAAGCAATTACCAAAACCCAGCTCGGCTCGGCCGCGCAAAGGATACACGTTTGTGGGTTTCCTCCAGTTTACACTGTTCTAAATGGAACAACATTTTTCAGGAGAGATTGTGAATTTGGAGATGTCCGATAAGCAAGAGACTTCGCCCCGTGGTCGTGGTCGAGGTCGCGGTCGAGGTGGTCGTCGTAGTGGCACCTCTGTGGGAGAGGATGAAGCGGGCGCTGATTCGCCGAAGCATGGACGAGTGTTGAGTGAGGAAGAGAAGGCGGATTTTGTGAGTTACCAGCAAGGTAAGTCTTTGAAAAGAGAGGGAAAGATGAGGGGAGACAGGTGGTACTTCTCGAGTAACAAAATTAAATACCTCTTAGCTTCTCATAACTCGTGAATTTCAGCCGTTTATCGTAGAAAATTAATGCGCATAATACATTTGTATTCCTTCGTTTACCCTCATTTCGTTGCTAGGCCGTGATTCGATGTCGTCAAGAATTAAGTCTGAGTTTACTTATATTAGATTGAAATAGATTAGATTATCCCATCTTACACCACTTTTTTCTCCAATATGAGTCCAAGTGTTAAGCTACAGCATAGGGACCGTTCCTGCTGTCAGCAATCTGCAGACTTAGCGCAAAAACGCATGATTGCACCGGCAAGCCTAGTGCGTTCCATCCTGGGTTTCGTTTACAGAAACTTTAATACAAGAGAAATTCTTGTTTGCGGTTCGTACAGATCGTAGTGACCTCAAAGATAACATGTTTATGTGTGGGAATGGTTAATGCAAACCGAAGACATATAGCTCTGTTAGAGT